AATTAAAACAATCCACTTATCAAATTTGGGAGGGGGTGGAGGGGGGATTGGCATGACTTTTTCAAATGGATCTGTTCAAAAATCTACTAATTCTCGACATGTTCTTTCACTTGTGAAAAAGATTTGCTTTTATTCGGAAACCAAAGTATCAAGATATTTTCAGTCACTATACTACTTTATCTTTTTTTTTTTTTTTTTTTGGTAAATATTTTTTTGATTTCAATTTCTAAGTCCTTTGTAGCTATTCCAGTCTTCTGGGTATAATTTGCACACTCTCTAATATTTTATTATTTAATTTGTACTCAAATAAAATAATGAAATAGGATTTTTACACTGGAAAATGGTATCATTTACTTTATCAGATAATTTTTATTAAAAAAATTTATTGACAAAATCCAAACCAAATGTAGAGGACTTCAAAATAGCGATGCGTATTATATTAAATAAATATAAATATTTACAAAAATTATAACAATGCTAAATAAATTACAGTGGCTAAATGTGAAAAATTTAATATTATATCCTGATTGCATTTTCATTTACAAAATTATTCATAATTTACTTCCAAGTCATTTAGGAAGTTATATTAATTATTTTGTTAGAAAGATTTTTTTCAGGTAATGACCAACGTGAATACAGGAACACGTTGGTCATTACCTGAAAAAAATCTTTCTAACAATTTTCATTGCCAACGAAAGCTCAGACCAATCAGTGTAGTTCAACGCCGGTAGGGGTATTTGCCCTCGGAGTAGTTGTTTCTGACTGGTCAACGAAGTTCATTAATTATTTTGGTCAAGTGTATCATATCATTGATTTTGTATTTTTTTACTCTATTGTATGGCATAAAAATCCAATATGGTAGCTATAAGAAATAATGAAGTTGATGATGGTTCCAGAAAACCGAAACGTGCCAAAAAAAACCTAATCGCACATGCGTATTCTACACAAAGAGTTACCTTAAAAGTTTTTTTACAGATTTGAGAAATTTTCATAAATAAAATATTTACACTATTTTCAAAAAAACCCAGCTTTTCAGTTTTTTCTAAATATCTCATAAATGTGAATAGCTAGACTCAATCTGCAAACGCTATTAGTCTAACATAATTGTCTAACACTTTTCCTTTTCAATCCCCCCTCATATCTGTTATCGTTTTCTATATCCTAATACATTTCCCACTAATTTGGACATACTGTATATTCTGTAGTACATATTTTAAAACCTCTTTTCTTTTTATTATTATTAGGTATAAATGACATGAAATCTCAATTATAAAAATGTAGAATGCCAAATTTTGCTGACAATACTTTAATTTTTATTTAAAGGAAATCATATCCTGATGATTGTGTTCCAAACAGATTTGAACATTTTTATAAAGGACCCCGCACACTTATGGAATTTCTGACCGCGTTCAAATTTGACAAAATTTTAGTATGGCTAGTTTAATGTCCAAGAAATGTACAGGGTGGGCATGTTATTAGGAGCCTATGTCTTTTCTCAGAAACTACAGGGGTACAAAAAAAATATAAATACAAAAGTTTCTTGGTTTTAAGCAATGTTGTCAATTATTTGCGTTTTATTTATACAGGGTGTCCCAAAAGTGCTGCACCGACTTCAAAACCAGAATTTTAAATGGAACACCCTGTATGTTATTGCATATTTGGATTCTACGTAAAATTCTGAGCAGATTTCATGTAATATACCCTATACCTAAGTTCAACTGTTTTGGAAATATTGACAGTTGAAAATTGACTTTTTGGAACTTTGACAGGCTGTAAAACCTAAATGGTTAATTTTAGACGAAAACCGATTATACATTCCTGTCTTAGATTTTTATAAACTATCATTTGACAGACACCAACTTTGAATTTAATCCACGATGAAGAATTCCAGTTTAATTTAATCTCCGGTTAAATTCAAAGTTGGTGTCAAATGATAGTTCATAAAAATCTAAGATAGGAATGTAAAATCGGTTTTCATCTAAAATTAACCGTTTAGGTTTTACAGCCAGTCAAAGTTGCAAAAAGTCAATTTTCAACTGTCAATATTTCCAAAACAGTTGAACCTAAGTATAGGGTATATCATATGAAATCTGCTCAGAATTTTACGTAGAATCCAAATATGCAATAACATACAGGGTGTTCCATTTAAAATTCTGGTTTTGAAGTAGGTGCAGCACTTTTGGGACACCCTGTATAAATGGAACGCAAATAATTGACAACATTGCTTAAAACCAAGAAACTTTTGTATTTATATTTTTTTTGTACACCCTGTAGTTTCTGAGAAAAGACATAGGACCCTAATAAAATGCCCACCCTGTACACATTTTATATGCATTCACATCTACCTGTCACCTGAGCGTGAGGATACCTGTCCATCCTGGTATATTATTATTATTAGGTAACAGGTAGATGCAGATGCATGTAAAATGTGTACATTTCTTGGACATTAAACTACCTGTATCTCAAAAACTAGTCATAGAATTAAGTGAGATCCGGTGAGATCGATAACATACTAAAATTTGGTTGAATTGTTAAATTTGACCGAGGTCAGAAATCGCATAAGAAGTGTGCGGGGTCCAGTCCAAGACCAACTGAAATTTGTCAACTCGATTTGATTCAAAGTTGAAATTTAATGGGCATGTATTATGAAATTAATTTTAGTATTTTGCAATCTCATATTCTGTGAATGATGAAAAAAAGCGTTGCCTATTATCTATCTATAGATATGAAAATCATTTGCCGTCGATGGAGTTGTAGAAAAAATATTTTTTCCGACTCGTGCGCGAAATGTTTCTGGTGATCTCTAACGATTTTTTGACTCCGCTTCTTGTCATCCAAAAACTTTCTTCCTTGTTTATCGAAATGGGATTTCGCGCACCAGGTAGAAAAATAACTATTGCTTGCATTTTTATTTACAAAAATATCCATCATTTACTTTCAAGTCATTTACGGAATTATATAACTCAAAATTTAGATAATCATGACTATTTTACCCATAATAGGATTATGAATTGTTTAAATAACTATTGTTCTATGAGTTCTACATATTATTTTTCATAAAGGTTTTGATGATTATAATAATTTAGATAAATTAAAATTAGTAAAAACACAAAAATCTTTAAATAAATGTAATTGAAAAAAAAAACTATTTACCTAATGGAAATTCTGAGGGAAATTCAGAGTTGATGCATTTTATATTGTAGCTTGGCATATTGTTTGCTAAATAAAGGCATTTATTATTACTTTTCATTTTCTGATATTCAGGTCCAACCTGTTGTTAGCCTTTAGTATTGCACCACTCTGAGAAACTAGCAAAATCGTCTGGTAACCTCAAACAATCAGGTTCCTCAGCTACTAATTGAAAAATCTTGAATTCACCAGCACATAAAACAAGTATAATAACATACATAAAACTAAATCTTAGGATTTCGCTTAGTAGCAAGCATGCTGAAATTTTTATGAATTGAAGTTTGCATGGTTTTGTTGCAAAGCATTGTGAAAATTCAAAACATTTAAACTACAATTCATATGTAAGAAATAAAAAGTTCTTAAATTGAATACATACTTCAGCAGGAAGAAAAATAATAACCAACAATAGGCCACAACATTTTTGGTTTGGTAGGAAGATAAAAAATATGACACAAAAAATAGAAAAAAAACTTTATTTGAAACACTCATAGTGAGACATGTTAAATCTATACTTATATGAAAAACAGGGGAACCCAAAATTGAATTCCTGATAAATGTGAGAATATTATAATTACTACGTTTTCATGGAGTTTTGAAATCGTTTTGAATACGGTTTTGGTATTGAAAACGCCATGAAAACATAGTCTAGGAGGCAGTGACGATTTTCGGTACTTATTTTCCCAGTCAGACAACATGGATAGAATTGTAGGGTTAGTAATTCTAAGCAAAATACATATATTTTACGGGGGGGTTTTCCGATGGGTTGAAGCGCAAAATGCGTTAAAGCTTACGAATGAACGGCCCTTTTTTTTCTCAGTGATAAAAATAGGTCTACTGATGAGAAGTATACTGAAGTTACATAAAAAAATAGTCCGGTTAATCTGTGAGTATGGATAATATGTCTGGCAAGTGAAAAATTGAAGATCCGAAAATTTTCAGCCAGACTCACTTTCACTATCTAAGATAAGCCAAATTGCTATTTTCATATACTCTATGTTCCTCGCTATGTTCTATTGTAGTAAATGTGAAATATTTATGACTTGTAAAAAAGGCGTACTTGTATTTTTCATTGATCTTGATCTTGTGAACCCATCCGAAAATTTTAGCCAGACTCAAAAATTCGTGCTTTGTATCACTAGGAGAACAAACTATTTAATAGACACCAACTGGGAAAATAAGTGCTAAACAATTTCACTGCCTCCTGGACTAACAGGTACTGAAATCGATTTCAGTATCAAGGTCGTTTCACCTTTTTTTGGGATCGTATCGAAATTTAAATTCAGAAACATGGAATTCGATTTAAATTCTAACTTTACCCTGCATGAAAACGGGAAAGAGGATTGGATTCAAAACGATTTGAAAACTCCATGAAAATGTAGTAAATTATCGATAAAGCACTTGCAGTGTAGTAAAACTTCTATAGAAATGCAGGGAAACTTAGACCAGGATTACTTAATTTCTTAATTCTTAATGCTTATCCTTAGAAATGTCAATGGCCCAATGCTGAATAATTTGACTCATTTCATAAATTAACAATTGAGGAATTCAATAGTCCATACTTTAATAAAACACACAAGAAAAATAAATCTAGAGGTTGGAAAGTTTAGGAAAAGGTGCCTATCTAGAAGAATTTCCTTGCTTGCTTCGAACAAAGTGAAAAAAAAAAAATGTAAAATTCATTGTTTGGGTTTGTTTAGGATTAATTTTGGTAGTCTACATTAACCTTAAGGTTGCAGTTATCTAACAAAGGGCACTTGTATATAACATAGATAACGATAATACATATGTAGTTCTAAACTAAGAATCCTTACCATTAATTTGAATTTCTATTAATCCAGGAGCAATCAATCGATTCCCACAGTCAATTCTCTCGTCTTCGATTATTTTCTCATCGTAGAATATCTTTTCTGGGTCAACAATTTTGCCATCACGTACCCAAATATCCTCCTTGATTACTTTATGGTCCCTGATGATGCTGCAATTTACGAAACGTAGCAGTTTATTGTTCTCTGGCATTGTTTTTTCTTAGTTTTCTGAAAATTTTACAAAAATAATTAAATTGTTTTGATGTTTTGTTATGTTTTTGAAATGTAGAGTTTGAGGTTACGTTCAGTTTGAAATGTCACTGACACCTGAGGAATTAAGGGGCCATTTACATTGAAAAACAATATTATTAGCAGAAGGCCAACGTATTCTACAGGGTGTTCTTGGGAAAATTACTTACCAAATACAATTGAAAAAAATAAAAATAATAAGTGTAATTAATGTTAGTTCAAAAATTTAATGTCTCTATGCAGTTGCACAAACTCAAATCTGGTTAAATACTAAATTATCATAATAGAATTATCGGAATCTCACCACAATATTTGTATTGGCTTTTAATATCTTATCTTAATTTTCTCTCTGATAATGAGCTACTTTCAGTGAATGAACGACATAAATATTTATTTTTGATGCAATATTTTGTAATGTGGTTTTAAAAGTGGCTTTTTTTTCTAAAAAGTCAACTTTTACCAATCTAATCACTTTCTGTCAATATATGTATCCATGACGCAATAAATAGCAAGTCCAAGTCACAGGTTGACGTAATATATACACAGATATGGAGGAGGCTTTTGATTGGGTGTTTCAGAATTTGAGCCACATCATTGAGATTTCGAAAACGGTGAGAGATACAAGGTTGGTTAATTTGGAGCAAAGTTGCGTAATTTGATGCTTGACAAAATGCCGCTTCGATATCTAGGATATTCCGAATACTTCCGGAAATATCCGGGAAAAATCGAAATTCTGCAAAATTGTTTTTATTCTTTCTTGACTTATTCAAATTGATATTTGAAAACAAATGTCACTTCATCATAGCCACTTTTTCTCCCCTACAAGATGCTAGCTTCAAATGTAAAATCTGACGTTTTGCCTTTGAGCCACCATCACCAACTTGATTTTTTTAAATACAGACCCTTATTTTTTATTCTAGATTTTATAAGCTTCTGATGTCCCAAAACCAATGACGTATTGCACTTATTCAAAAAATTTATATTCGGTCTGTTTCTGCAGAAATCACAAACCAGTCAGTGAATTTTATTGGTTGAAAATAGTCAGAAAACAAGTTTTAACCAATGACATTCACATTCACTCTAACTGGTTTGTGATTTCTGCAGAAACAGACCTATTATTGGCATTTTCCATAAGAACTAAATGTGTTAGAGAGAGACAGAGAAAAGAATTTTGGTAGGAAATAACTAAAAAGTAAAAAATAATATTTTTTCTAATAAATACGATACTTTATAAGTTTTGGGACATCAGAAGCTCTAAAAATCTGAAATAAAAAATCTAGGGTCGTATTTAAAAAAATAAAGTTGATGATGGTAGCCCACAGACAAAACGTCAGATTTTAAAGTTGATGGTAGCTTCTTGTTAGAGAGAAAAAGTGGTAATGATGAAGTGATACTTTTTTGAAATATCATGCGAATTAAGTCAGGAAAAAATAAAAACAATTATGCAAAATTTCGTTTTTTCCGGATATCTCCGGTAGCATTCGGAATATCCTAAATATTAAAGCGGCATTTTGTTAAGCATCAAATTACGCAACTTTGCCCCAATTGAACCAACCCTGTATCTCTCACCGTTCTGAATACTTTTGGAAATATACGGAAAATTCGGAAAACTGCGATTCTGGTTTTTAATTTTTCCAGGCTTTATTTTAAGAGATCGAAAAAAATCAAAATAACTTTCTTTAAGTACTTTTATCTGGACTTTAATGTGATGTTATTATTTTAGAAATTCGACGTTTCCTTTTTCCAACGACATCATCCAACTAATTTTTTTTTAATACGGACCTGGATTTTTTTTGCAAATTATGTTTTGTTTTGACATTCTGAAATACAGGGATCCAACTATTTCATAGGGACAGTATTACTATCTCGGGAATGGTTAAAGTTACGAGGGCGTTTAAATTAGAAAAAAGTTGCCATTTTTGAAGATTATTAGAAATATATTTTCGTTGTTGCCAAATTTCTATTAGTTTCGCAAATACAGGGTGATCTTTGAGAATTTTCAAAAACAATTTTATCAAATATTTTACAATCTATTGATTTTAGAGACAAAAGTATTATATTTTTAACATTCTTCGATAATAGCAACTTTTTCCTAATTTAAACCCCCTCGTAACTTTAACCGTTCCCGAAATAGCAATCAATGCTGTCCCTATGAAATAGTTGGGACCCTGTATATCATATATAACACATTCCAAAATTTCGACGTTTCGACCGAAAATACTTATCCTCAGGCAAAATTAATACTACAATTTTCGAATATGATTTGGAGTTTTAATCCGCATGCAAATTTTAGTTAAAATACGTAATAAAATTTAATTTCTTGTAGCAAATGAGAGAAATCCCAACTAATAACAAACAAGCGAAATAGTTATTAACCATTGTATTACCGTTATAAGGCCGATAAGTAGCAAATAACGGCCGGGCTGAATTAAGTCGGCGATAGCCGAGGATCATAATCAATCAAGGCTGTTATTTTCAGTTATCGGCCGTGTTTCGTTCTAGATTTTTCGTTATACTGCAGATATCTTCCAATTTGACAAAAAAAAACACTCTCCCGGCCAGCGGCCGTTATTTTACCGGCTGGCGGCTGTTAATTTAACGGCCGCGGGCCTGTTATTTATATTTAACTGGCCCCTAAGGGAAACTTTAAAAAATTTCATCTTTAGCCAATTTTTTTGAACAAAACCATTCGTGCATAGCGCGTCGTGTGCAGGATTGAACAGTCTCTGGATTGGAAAATGTCCACCCTGGCAGCATTATTGATATCAAAGGAGCGTTCGACAGAACGACCTTAGATAATATCATACAAAGCCTAGCTAGACATGGGGCTCCACCCAGGGTTGCCAGATCTTTGAAATGAAAAAGCGGGACTGATGTTATCCAGAGGGAAAGCTAATTTTTTTTCGGTGCCACACCCAAAAACATAAGGGGGGGGGGGGAGGAGCAAGTGCCCAATGTGTCCTCCTCCTATGGATCCCCTTGAGCAAAAGCCCAAGAAATTTTTTGGAGCCACGCCCAAATTTTGTTAAGAATTCAACCAAAACTCGATAAAAAAAAATCTCCTTGATTAGATAACAAAATAAACGCTTCACGACAAAACAACACAAAACATTATTTATACCCTATAAATGAACGCTATAACCATATGTTATGGTTTTTGCTGTTAAACTAATGTAATGTTTTTTCCTTTAAGACCTCAACGGCCCACCCTTCAAATTATATTTTAGTTCTAAAAAAAAATTATAGATGGCGCCAAGATGAAGGCATTTTTACAGTGGAGCATTTTAAATATTATAGCGATTTCAATTTGCAGAATCAGTGCAAGTTTTTTCACTCAGTTCGCACTGATTGGCTAATGAGATTATGGAAGGATTTGTATTTCTATGCCTCGTATGACTTCAAATTTTGTTCTACTCTGTAAAAGTGATGTTTTGTTGTAGAGCTTGTTTTTGAGGTATGTTTAGTTGTGGTAGGTACCTATGAGATTTTCAGGAAGCAATTGGCACATGAATGGGTTTACAAATAGAGGAATACTCGGAGGAATAATAAAAAAATAGTCCTACCAGGAGTCTTACACAATTTCAGATATTGGTAAAAGATCCAAGAGCTAGTAAAAGAAATGCAAATCGCCAGATACCTAAATTGAATGCTCTACTACTGCATTGGTGGTATTATTATTGCACTAATATGCAAGAACACAAAGAAAAAACTCTAATTTTAGTACTTTCTACCTTTTGTAAATAAATTTTAATAATTATTATTGAAGCTTTTTATTTTTTCAAAGACATTTTGTCCTACAAAACACGATCCAATTTTTTTATGTATACCTAGGTAAAGTTCGTTTCACCAGGGTTCATACTTGACCTTGAAATTTGAAAAAAAAGGGTTGTAGATTAATTCATATGACACATTCAATCAATGTTTGACAAATTAAAATGAATGACTTTCCTTTTAAGAATTGACAAACGTTTTTGAAGTCATTAATTTGTTTCAGTCAATTTTTATTTGTTAAACAAGGAAGGCAAATGCTGGTGGCAAGTACAAACCCTGGCGAAACAAACTTTACGTAAAATAGATACTTTATTTATTTTCAATGGAAACTAATGGCACAGCATGCTTTGTGCCTATTATTTTATAAACCAATAATGAAAAACAAAACAAATACACAAGGTGAGAAAGAGGTTCTGTTGTCAATAGGCTTTTTTGGAAATGCTGAACAACCTACATCAGCTGCTGCTCCAACGGTTCGGGTTTTTCGAAAACGCCTAATTATGACATCACGAATTGTCTGGTGGCGCCATCTTCGAAAAAAAGCCTGAACTATATTTGCCAAAATATCTGTAATTTTATTCCAAAATCGGTTTTAGACTACAAAAAAAAAACGGCACATCAGAATTTGCTGAAATTTGGCATAAACATTCTTTGATCGATTATCTAGAGAATAGTGCTCTTATTTTTTCAATTTTTACCGTGGATTTTTCTATTTTTGGGAAATAGTTAATTTTCACAATATAGGGCAAAAAAAAATTTGAAATATGGAAAATCTAACTGCACTATTCTCTAGATAATCGATCAAGGAATGTTTATGCCAAATTTCAGCAAATTCTGATGTGCGGTTTTTTTTGTAGTCTAAAACCGATTTCTGTATTTTGTATCGTGTGCATGGGAGCGATGTTGCCCCCTTAAATGTTTTTTCACAAGGGTTCCTACTTCGCTTAATAGATGGCGCTTGAAAACGTGGATTAATACAGTGGCTAAATAAACCTTTACATACAGTGGCGACAATAGAGGTCCCGCCGCCATCTTGTTCCCAACCTCTTGTTACTTTTAAATATTAATATATAGGATTTAAATGGACATCTATCATAAAAAATTGAAATCGACGTATTTGATGACCCTTATTAGGTCCATCAAATACGTTGTTTTCCATGATTTATGATGGATGTTCACCTAAATCCCATATATTCATATTTAAAATTTAACAAGAGGTTGGGAACAAGATGGCGGCGTTGTCAATATAAATATATGGGATTTTAGAACCAATCAAAAATAAGACAGCAATTGTCGCCACTGTGGTAATAGAGTCACTGTATGGATGAATCAAGACGCCATCTATAAAAGTTCTCGTTTAATTTTGCTTTTATTACATTATATCATTGTATATTATAATTGGATTTGAAAGAATGTTTTTAACAACACGTAAAATCCTAATCAATCACTTTCGTCACTAGATATTGACTAGTGAAGAAAGTGACGTTTTCGGCTAAGGTGAAATATGACGAAAGTCATTTATTTTTCCATGACCAGAAAAAAAAATATTGCAGATGCTAGTTTGTGCAATGA